AAACACAGTGACCCCACTCACCTCTTTCCATTTTTGGAAACAGTCCCTTATATACACTTACTTGTTTATATGACATGTGAATAACCAATCAAAAGCTCAGAATGTCCCCTAGTGGCTTTTTCAGCCATTTTCATGTGTTAGGACATCATCTCGTTCTTTCTAAACAAGATTTCAAAGAGGTAGGTTGTGTCTTTAGTCTGCTCAAAATTTCATATTTTTTAGACCAAAATACAGCTTAGTAACTAAACTTGATAAATTATAATGGAATTCTATGGTATCAATATAGTAATTTGCGATTTTTTGGTTATTCAAATGTATATATAAAACTTTTAAAAAAATTATTTCGTTTCACATCCTCCATGTTAAAGAATTCTTAAGGTGTAACAAGCTATGAGAAACAGCGACCGAGTACAAAGGTCATAATAAGAAGAGATAATTGTTTGCTTTACTTCTTCATTTACTGTTTTATGTTTTAAGAAAATTAAGCTTAAGAACTTGTTTGTAAATAGTAATAATCTATATACATATATAATGTATAATAATTGAAATGGGACTGTGTTTTACAAAACACTAGTCCATTAAAACACAGCCAAGACAGGGCACTAAAGGTCAGTTTTATATTATTGGATACGGTTACATGAGTCCACATGCCACGTCATTGCAACTTCTGTATTGTTAGCCAGGCACAACTGGAAAGTTAATAGAATAAAAATAATAAAGATACATAAATGTATAAAGTTACGAGATTTAAGCTATTCAGACTAAACATCTGTGTTTCGTGTTATATGCAGTCATTCTAGAATGAAAAAAGCATAATTTATATTCATCTTCTAATTTTTTATGGTGGTTACAAAGTTGTTCAAATTGACAGACCCTGTATAGTTAGAGTAGAGAAAATAACAGACAAAATATAAAGTTTTACTAAAAACAAACATTTAACATGTATTTAGGAGGTTTTAGAGATTACATAAATAATATTTACGATTTTTGGGACGAAGAATAGTTTCTTAATCTTAAAATCAAAATCACTTCACACCCGGACTAGTAACAAAACAGACTCGATATTTTCACAAACAAATCCTTAGTAAAAATACTTCATTAAAAATCTAATTTTTTTGTGTACAAATAATTTTGAATCATTAATAAAAGTCTTCTAAATTTTGTGAACATACACATACAGCATTAAAAGTTATAGTATAAATACTTAACATGTGCAAATGTACATACAAACTTGAGCCCGTTGTGAAAGGGTTAACACATCAAGTATAATGATTTATTAAGCTACAGTCTAAAGACAATATGTGTTTGCAGCATTATTGCTGCAAACCATGAACTCTCAGATTCACAGTCTGAGAGCACACTAACCACAGTCCAAGTGCATATACCCACATTAAATATAAAATTCTTTTATTAGGAATAGTAGAATAAATCAAATTAAATATTTTATTTTTCTGAAAATAAACACTTTTAGGAAATTTTTCTTGTCAATTTTCAAAAAATTTCATCCACTATTTTTATGTTTGGAAGGAAATATGATGAGAGCGACATTACTTTCTTACAATGCAAGAAGCTGGTAATCAAAGGGTTAATAGTAAATACAAAAAAGAAATGAAAAGAGCTAAATGCTGAAACACACAGGATATATGAAATTTTACAAAAAAACAAACATTTTGTACATATGGTGCATTACCTTTTCCTGTCTACTAGTGGTATAAATCTCCAGATCAAAGTATTGAGGAATGACCATGAGGTTGGCAGTCTTCTCATTATCTGCCATGTACTTGGCCAGTAGGTGAGGTAATGTTACAATGAAATGTTCTGTCAGCCGCACTCGGTCATCTGCAATTTGTTTTAACTCTTTTGCTGATAGTTGCTGCAGAAAGATCAAAAATAATAATCTAATCAGCTTTCAATTCTATGAACTATGGTACCCAAGAAAACCTCATGGAAGCAAAGTTTCATACCATATAATCTTGAGAACATTTCATTATTTGTGTTTTATTATGTAAATGCAATAAAAACTAGTTCACTTCAACTTCCAAGGCTTCTAAATACTTTGATCATTCAAATTCAAATTATGCTATCTATTAATAAAAGAAATGTGGGAATTAAGATGGCATAAGAAAAATGTTATAATTAAACAGAAATAACAGTTAGGGAGAAATTAAAGTTTTTTCATGTAATGTTAAATTTTATTCAGAGAAAACCACAAATAATTAACAATAAGCATCATTTTTATCATTCAAATTATCAAATTTTAAACCTAATAAAAAACAAGGACAAACAGAATTAAAAAGATTTATATATCTCAATATGTTAGAATGACTAGAAAGTATTCATTGTTAAGTACCAAACACTTTTTTTGGTATAGAATATATGTTTTTAGTCAAATTGTGTGATGTTTAACAATGAAAATTCAACTTTTATGATTTTAAAACTACCTGCATCATAAATCATAAAAAAAGTTCATTCTTTTATTAATGCTGGTCAGTGTTAGACATTTTTGAAGTACATGTTTTCTTGTAATCAAAAATTATTCATTTCTAGAAAAAATGAATTTCAAAAGTTAGGCTCAGTATCTTAAAAGATTAGAAAAATATATATCAATAAAAGTAAGAATTGTATGGCACATAGCACAGATTCTTGTAAAGTCAGATAAGGTTGAAAGGTGGCTATATGAGCTGAAGTGATAGTAGCCAAGTTAGGTTACTTTTTTTTCATATTTGTACCATAAAATAGTCCTCATACGAGTTTTTTTAATGACTGAAAATTTATAAATTGGTGTCATCTCACACAGAAATTACATTCTATGCTGATCAAACTCTCTACTTAAAGCATGACCAAGAACAACATAATATTCATATATTACAGTATAATTTATACACATATAATGTTTCAAGTTTTTATGCATGCAAAAAAGTATTAATTCAATTCTGACCCAGATGCCAGTCAACATCTGTATAAAAGCTGAAGTAATGGTTTGTATTTGACAAATAACTAGTTATAGCTTTCAAAGATAATTTCTTATAGGAATCTTAACCCTACCAAAATGGATCTTCCTATGGTCAAGGGTCAAAGGTCATGTCATCACGTTTGTAGACTCGCATTTAAAATTTTATTTAACTACTATTTTATGAATGTATGTCAATAAGTTTGGTATCAAATTATAGATTATAATTCAAACTGTAGTATCATACATTAGTTAATTTATTAATTTAAAAGTAAATATTAAAAAGAAATCCTAAATATCGATTTTTGTGTGCCATGTGGTATGTTGAATGCAGCTTTAGTTCAAATTAGATGTTTGTGATGTCCAAATACAGTCTATAGTTTCTCACGAATTAGATACTCAAATTACCAATACTGACGAGCTAGAATTTAAAATAGGATCCTATCTTTTCTAATTTATGACACATACATATATATATATAAATAATCAACTAAGGTGGCCCAGCCCACCTCTTCTATTTTTGAAACTGCTTTCTTATGTGCAACTACTTCACCTAATGATGTGTGTATAGCCAGTCGGTAACTCAGAATGTTCCCTAGTGGTTTTCTCAGCCTCTGCAAAGTATTTGCACAACAAACTTTTTCTTTTCATTAGATTACAAATGGTGAGGTAAAGTAAGACATTAGTGAGTTCAAAATTCCATATTTTTCTAGACTCAAATACAGCTTAGTTACTAAACTTCGTCAACTACAGTGGAATTCTGTGGTATTCATATAGTAATTTGTGATTTTTTATTTTATTTCAAAATACATATATAAAACCTGAAAAAAAATTATTTCATTTTACATCCTTCACATACAAAATTTGATATGGCTTAGCAACTTACGGCAAGCAGCAAACAAGTTCAAAGTTCATAACTAGAAGATATAATTATTTCCTATAATTCTTTATTTACTGTTCTATGTTTTAAGCAAAAATAACAGAAATTCCATAACTTATTTGTAAATAGTAATAATATATATATTGTATTAAAACTGAAATGTGACTGTATTTTACAAAATACTAGTCCACTAAAACAAGACAGGTCACTTTGTAAATACTAATGGTCAGTTATATATTATTGGATACGGTGACATGAGTGCATGTGTGCCACATCATTGTAACTTCTGTATCGTTAGCCAGGCATGGCTGAAAGGCCAATATAATAAAAATAACAAATGTATAATGTTATGAGATTTAAGCTATTTAGGCTAAACATTTGTGTTCTTGTGTTATAATTTGTAGTCATTCTAGAATGAAAAAGCATAATTGATATTTATTTCCTAATTTCTTATGAAGGTTATGAAGTCAGTCAAATGAAACCAACCCATACTGAAATACAGCAGTGAAAATAACAGATAATATATAATTTTTTTCTAAAAAAATTTCATAATTATCTGGAGGTTATAAAGATTTCACATGCGAAATCTGAAAATTTCCTGATGCGTAGAAGGTGCTATACAACCACTACCAAGACATTTCATTTCCACCAAATTTCATATTTTTTCATATGGAATAAACAGCTGATGCCACTGGGATTTGTGGAAATCAACCTGACTGAAAATGTAGAGAATGGGCAAAGGAAAAGGCTGTCAGTACCTGTTTCAAGACCATAGTGGACAGCCATCTGCCATCACACCTACAAATGGTTCCTACACCACTGACAGTGACAGCTAATTAAGCACTCATTATCTTCAGACATTCAAAACGATTGAAACTGCTGAGAAACAAGATACTATATGTTTTTCTTTATTTGATTGTTTGTTTTTGAATTTTGTGTAAAGCTACACTAGGGCTATCTGTGCTAGCCGTTCCTAATTTAGCAGTGTAAGACTAGAAGGAAGGCAGCTAGTCATCACCACTCACCGCTACTCTTTTACCAATGAATAGTGGGATTCACCGTCACATTATATTGCCCCCCACGGCTAAAAAGAGCGAGCATGTTAAATGGAAGGGGATTCGAACCTGCGACCCTCAGTTTGTGAGTCGAGTGCCCTAACCACCTGGCCATGCTGGGCCGATACTATATGGAATAGCAAAAGATGAGAAATCAACAGCACAGTCCAGAGCCAGAAGTCCTGTGGTAACACTGACATTAGAGGAACTTTTTTGTACCTCCTGTGAGGCAGACAGTCCACACGAGGAATAAGCATCAATTAGCACAAACCATGGAAACATCACTTCGTCCTTTTGTTCAGGTATTGCCCTCAAGGCTAGCAATACGGGATAAGAACCTATCATATAATTCCA